GATATTGATCCAAAAGCATTGGGTTTCCCAAAGGTCCTAACATTATATTAATAATACTTTTTTATTTACTTGGTATGCATTTCTTTTTGAAATCATAATACCTGAGTCTAAAAATGTTTGGTTATATCAGGTTAGATTTGAGTATATGGTGCCATGTGACCTGTAGTGGAAACTGCTCGCTTTCGAGAAGCAGTTTCACATGAAATTGTGTAAAAAATAACTATATAATCCTTTGAAATTTGAGAAGGTGTGTCATCATAGTACAGCATCTCCCAACAACCATGCACATTTGGGGCCAGGCACTTTGTTGTGGGAGGCTGTCCTGTGTTGTTGTTGCCTCTACCCAGCCTCTACCCACTACATGCCAGTAGCATTTCCCCCCAATTTGTGACACTCAAAAATGTCTCCAGACATTGTCAAATGTCCCCTGGGGCACAAAAATCACCGCCAGTTGAGACCCACTGTCATAATGGCATATTTCTCATGTTTTGACTCCCTACAGGCATTAATTAAGGCATGTATTTTATTCCTTTTTTTCTTATGAAAGGATGTGGTAACTTTCATTATGTTTCAGTGTTTTCTTCCTCTCACCCCTAAATTAAAAGTACTTTAGAAAGAAATAGAACAGTTTTCAAGGTAAATGCAACTCCTGGCTCCTTGCCTGCCTTCACTTGCTCTGTTAAGCAGTGAAAGTTGAAATTTTCTTGTCTCTCCTGACTCCCAGAGACAGCCTCACAAAGCATCACCTGGGCGTGGAGAGACAAGCAAGCCGTAGACCTTTCTGTGGCTCTGACCTACTGATGTACTGTTTTAATAAACGAAGTTGAAGTTAAGCAGCTTCTTTGAGAGCAAACTGCTGTACACACAGTCACTTTCTATTCTGAATAGGGCCTGTGCCCAGGAGGCTTGGGGGCTCCGTTTTTAGTTCTCAGAACTGCAAAACCCCAGTCTCACAGCCGCTCAGCCAGGAGCCTCCGCCCAAGCATTTCTGTGTGTGCTTCCTTTAAATGGTTTTCCTTGCTAACCCGTGAACACGCCTGGCTGCTCTCTGGTCCCCTTATGGTATCAGTTCTCCTTTCACCAGCTTAGGGCCAGACTTCATTATAAATGGGTGTTCATCAGATCACGCTAGTTGCCATAGCATTGTGGATTTCTTACGGTATTTCTTCCTCTATTGCTCTTGACATTTCTTTTACATCTCTTACCACAACTCCCAAAAGTCCCTCATGTTTATATAAAATATTGAAATTCTCCTTAAAATGAAAACTTACTTATTCTATTCTTTATTATAATAAGCACACAGGCTTACCTTCTGCGTTACTTTCGTAAGGTTGTTGTGAGCATAATGTACATGTTCAGCTTGAAAGTGGGGTTTTAATACTTAGAAATACGAGATAAATTTAAGATGATTTTGCTTCTCTTTTTCCACCCATCCCCCTTCAAAAAAAATCAACTCCTTGATTTGAAAAGAAAAGAATGACTGTTTCTTTTGCTTAACAGATGTGAATCCTTTCACTGCTCCTTTCCTTTTTAGCCAACGGTAGCAAGCATGTATGATACAGCCAGAGCATTTGTGCTGTCAGGTATAAAACCTTTCTAGCTGTAGTAACTCTTGCCACTGATATCAACTCACTTTGAATTTGGGGGCAGTCAGAGAAGGTTCATGGCATTGGGCTGCAGGATTGAAATGCGTAGCAAATTACCAGTGTCCCTCTGTGCTCCCTTTGTGGTTTGCCAAGCAAGATTTCCTTTCAACCTGTCTTCACACATTTGTTCATAACAACTTCCACCCTGCAGACTGCAAAGCCAGGGGTGGGCTGCAGTCGTCCTTACCAAATCAGAACAGGGTTGACATTGTAGGGGAACAAAACTTGCCACCCCCAAAATGTATCTCTTTGGCTTGAAGACTATTTTGGCGCTGGTTGTTTTTAAGAAACAAAAGATTCAGGAAAGTTTTCTTTTTACCTCCTCCTTAAGCACCTGGAAGAATTTAAAGGGCCTGGTCTAGGAAGAGTACTATCACCAGAGATGTCTGCAAAGAATATGAGCTGGTATGGTGGGGGAGCTGAGCAGGCTGGGGACACCAAAGTCCTCTCTGTGTTCCATTGTCTTTGCATGGAGTAGCAAGCACTTGTTTACCAAACATTTGTTTTTCTATCTCCATGTGAGTTGCCTTCCTCCCCTTTGAAGTCCCAAACCCCTACCTCCTTCTCCTCTCTCAGATGGCATATAAGTTCCAATTGCCCAGATTGTCCTTGGGCCTCATATTCCTATGGAACCCCCACAGGTACATAATTTAATTTGTTTTTTCTCCTGTTAATCTGTCTCATGTCAATTTAACTCTTAGACCAGCCAGGAGAACCTACAGGGGTAGAGGAAAATTTTTTCCTTCTTCAACACCTTCCTCTTCTACTCACAGAATAGAAACTCACTTTCAGGTTGAGTAGTACATCCTTAATTTTGCTGGTCTAGTCTTAATGGTACATATTCCTGATTAATAGTTTGCAAGTTGCCTTGATGGGAGTGTATATATGAAAGGATAAAGGGGGAAATAAACATTTATCATGCCTGTTAAGATATAATCTTGTTGATCTTTAAGTCAAAATTTGAGGTTTCTGAAATTGTGTTTGACTATAACTCACGGACACATTAAAAACATTGTTTTTCTGAAATTCACACTTTAAAGTTAGGGTAAATTTAGAAAGGGATACCTTATATAAAAGTATTTGCCATGACATTAAATAGGCAGTACTTCAATTACACAAAAAATTCAACATAATTTACAGTCACCTATTCACGAAAGCATCTATGGTATAAAGATAAACATGGTGATTAATACGCTCAGTACAGAGAATTAAAACAGAAGTTGTCTATCAGAATGAGTAACTTGAGAAATTGCATATCTTTTTTCCTGCCTTTTTTAAATGTAGGAAGCTCTACTTTGGTGTAATATCTTTTATCTTTTATTTAAATAGTGGTGATATAAAGTGATTTTTTTAATAATGCTTTTTACAAGTTTACATATATCTTTAGAACTCCTAAGTGCAGTGAGATTTAATACAGTACTGCTTATGTTAAATGAAAACTATTGATCATCTTCTCAATTCCTCTTAGTCTAATGAGTTCTGGTTTTAAAATTTATGTAAGAATAAAAGTATTGCTCTAACTGGAGAAAGCTGGATGTCTTGGGAAGTCTCCTGGTCGACGTTGAGTTGTTATGTGATTCTCATGTCTATGAAATTACTAGATTGGACACCCCTGTATACAGCCAGCACTTAGGGAGTCACCTGGAGTTCCCAGGTCTTTGTTCATCTCTGCAAATTAAAAATAATAAGACAGAAATAAGGTTGCTACTATAAAAGAATAGTTGTATACTGTAAATATTTGAAGCCAGCGTGTGTTTTTTCTGATGTTTCTCTGAACATTTTCTTCTCTCAGTTAAACATTGAAGTAAAAAAGGAGAAAAAATATTTACTGTTTTCTATTCTTTTTTAATGAAAATTGCACAGATGTGTTGGGAAAACCTCTAGTGATTTTGAACACATGGCTCTTGGGGAATCTGTATAGTGAATTGTTTCTATATTTTAAATTCTAGAACGAAACATGCTATGAGGTTAAAGGCTTAGAAGTGCCATGTGAACTTTAAACTTTTTGAGCACTGAAGAAATTACCATGTAGAGAATAAATGAGTCTTTAAGCAGTCTCTAACGAAGTAGCAGGTTACAGTTAAGGTTTATTCAACTTCAGTTTTATTCAGCTGTTTATGTTTGGTTCTTATCTGAGCAGAGAGAATGCAAGTACCATAGGAGTAGAAATAGAAAAGAGACTAAAGCTCCAAAGGTGCTTATGATCTCTTTAGGAAGATAAAGCACACAGTCTTTTTTATTTTAAATTATAATATATATAATACAGAATATAGCCATCATCATTTGTCTTACTGTGACAAGATTGCATGGAAGAAAGAAATGACCATTCAGAAAGGCTTACCCTTTAAATATTTACTTAGATATTGGAGAAAATTTGGGTGACTTATTTAACTATGCACTTCAGTGTTTTCATCAGTAAATTGGCATACATTAGGGTTGTGATGATTCAAATAATACATGTGAAGCATGTGAGCAGAGTGCCTGGCACAATAGCAAGTACTTAGTAAAGGATAGCTACTCATAATAGTAACATCATCTGGTTTAATCATAGTACTTATGAATTACATAGTATTTTTTCACTCTACAAATGAAGAACTTAACACTTAAAGTGGGTGATTTGCCTAAGATTGTCCAGCTAAATAAGAGGTGGAACTAGTATTGAATCTAGGGACTCTAACTCCAGAGACCAGTCTTGCAACGACGATACTATTATACTGCCTATCATTCATTCATTTATTTCACAGAAATTAATTAAACATATTTACATGCTAGGTACTGTTTGTCATTAATAACATTATTTATATTGGATACAGAGGAAAATATATAAAACGTGATGAAGATCAGCATGTAATGACATTATATTCATTTTTATTTTGACAAAGCCTAATCCAAATATTTAAGCATATTTATAAATAACATCTACTTAATAAATACTGGAATCAATGAATGTTGCTTCTCCCAGGATCATGAACCAGATAACACCAAATAAATAATGTGTTTATGAAATAAAACCTTGGATTTTTGTAGTACATTATTCATACATTTAGATAGGACTTAAATGAGGAAACTTCTTACTCACTTTTTTCTTTTACTCATTTTTAAAGCTACCAACAAGACATTACCCATAGATGGACCCTTGTATTCTAACTCCCAAAAAGTAGAAAAGTCATAAACCATTTGCTTCTTTATCCTATAGTCGTGACGTATTGTGTTTTGAATAGAAGCATCCATGGTTGAGTTTCAACAGAAAATGGTCTGTTGGTTTTATATGCAGTGGGATCCTTTCAATATGCTTGACTTTTGCCTCTTAACTCTCTGCCATCTCAACTTTCACTATAAGTAGAACCGTAAAGTGAGTTTTATATTTGCTTGTTTGTTTATTTTTAAAAACCAAAGAGATTTTCTTGGTGCCTATTATCAACCAAGCTATGACCTGTTAATCATGTAATTTAGGGTCCCTAATAGACTCATATGAACACTTTTCTGTTTGGTGGTGTTTTCCATTCAGAAATCAACCAGAGGGTTGTATATGTGGTGACTCAGATTTTGTAAAGAGATCATATAGTGTCTTCTTGAATGTTTTATCTAAAAAAAGAAATATAATGGGGTCTGTGCTACTTCTGGCTGATGCAAGACAGGTGAGGATGTTTTTTATCTCAATTAAATAATTCAATTGCTGACAGTCCGCTCCTTGGTGTAGAACAAAAAAAATGGGTTTAAAAATGCTATATGGAAGGAAGCAAACTATTAGTAGAATCTGGATGACCAAAAGGTGCCTTTTCACCGAGCTATAAGTCAAATCTTTCTCTGTAATGGATGTGCAGGTCCTTATTTTTCTCAGATGGTTGACAAAAGAGTAATATGATGTTAGTACGACTAAAAATGAAAATCCAATAAATGTGGTTCCAATGAGGCCTGCAGTCTGAGAGATCATGGCTCCTAGTTCCATCTGCGGATTGTAGCACAGGATCTCTTCTCCTTCTGTGGCCTCCACAACTGAGTAGTATATGATAATTGGAATAATTATGCCTAGAGCAACTACCCATATGTAAGCACATAGTTTTCTAGCAAAGTTGGGCTGGCGAAATTTTTTCAGTAACTGGCCATAAAATATTTTCTCGTAGCACGAAGTGGTCTCTTGTGTGGAATCCTTTTTCATTAAGGTAGCATAGCGGCTTATGGCAATCCAACTTAAAATTAAGAGGCTGACAAACATACTTACATGCATGGATAGAGTTCCCAAAAAATTGACCACCCTGCATTGCGCAGATTGATATTCCCATTGAAAACCTTTCAGGAAATAGATACCCATGAAAGGCATGGCACTGCACACAAGCAAGTTTGCAGTCACAAGATGTACTAGGTAGATGTGCGTTGGTGTTTTCTTAGCTATTTTTGTTAAAAATACCCACTGAGAGAGAGAATTTCCAAAGAGACCAGTGATACAAAGGAAGGTATAAATGATCGGTAAAGCCATGGAAGAGATCATGGATGGTTGAATACATGTTGAGTTGTTACTCATTTATATCAGATTTCCTTGAATTTTGCCACAGGAACTAGAACAGAATTGCAGACATTTAGTATTAAAATTATAGATGGTATTTCAGCTAAATAGTTTTTTTTATAAAGCATTGGATAAAATAAAATAGTAACATAAATATATTGGATGAAAAGGGAAAGTATAGATGCCGTCTCACCTTTTCTAATCACGATTGTCCAATTGAAATAAAAGAAAGTTGATTATTGTGGATGGTGCCTTTGTCTAAAAAACAAAATTTGATAGAAATAGTTAAATGCCTGAGATTTATTATTTTATACTAGAGAAATTTATAATTCTTATATTAGATTTTAAGGCAGTTTGTAAATGACAACTGATTTTTAGCCTAGAAAGATAATTTAAACAATTTTAAGGCACATACCAGCCAAAGGAAAGTGTTGCAAAAGTATTTTGTGGCCATGTTAATAGAAGACCGATTTTTAATTACCACGTTAATTGTACATAAATACTTTTCAAAATGGTGTCTTTTCATGGCTAAAGAACTTCTGTATAATCTAATACTATTAGAAAAGTCACTTTTCATATTTCAGAAGTAAACTTAATTCTACATAAACACTCGAAGGAAAGTGTAGTGACCAAGGATGGACACCAGAATCCCAGGGTCTTTACCAAATGGCATCAGTAATTTCTTGTTTCAAATATTTAATGATAATCTATCATACTTCAATAAAAATCTAGTTTAAGATTCTGTGTCAAAACTGTAGTTGCTACTGCTTGTTGGTTAGAGCACCCTCATGTGTCTTTGTGTGTAATTTAGTATCTTGGTTTTTCAGAGAAGTTTTTTTTTAGAAGATGTTTTAATCACAGTATAAATGCAGATGTGATTTTGCTTTTTTAATGTCTTATTTTTAAATATTTCTTGCTTCAAAAGGTACAAATACAAACTCCTTTTCATTCTTATTTTTCTCATGCCTTTACTTCTTTCAGGTGGAAGTAAGAAAACTTTTTGGATTCTGGTCAAATAAAAATCATGAGCTCTATTCAGAATGTGCTTCATTTCTCTGTATTTTTCACCATACCTTTCTAAGTACCACATTCTCCACTCTTTTATAATCTAGAATAGGGATTCTCAATCTTTTTCTTCTCATTCTCTCTTTTGATAAACACAAAACTTTTTACTACCTACCGCCTTCTGAGATTCTTATATGCCCCCAGCCCCTCAGGAATATTTTACTCTCCACCCCTCTTCAGAATCATGATTATATTTTCTGCATCTTAGATTATAGAAATAGGGATTTTTTCCCAAAATATACCATTATAATTTTGAAATAACTTTTTAAACCAATCTTCACCCAAAGGCTTGAAAGCTTGAGTATCTCTAGGTTCAAGTACTAAGACCCTTAATGTCTACCAGTGTCTTTATCATTTTATTTTGTTGCTTTGCAATTTTTATTTAGAAAACGGTCCATATGCTTCAGAGTGAGTTTGTATCTGAATCCAGTACAGCCTGGCAAATTGGAATTGATTTAAAAATCAGTCAGATAAAAAAAATGGTTCTGAAGAACCTAGGGGCAGGACAGGAATAAAGACGCAGAGGTAGAGAATGGACTTGAGGACACGGGGAGGGGGAGGGTTAAGCTGGGACGAAGTGAGGGAGTAGCATTGACATATATACACTACCAAATGTAAAAATAGATAGCTAGTGGGAAGTAGCTGCATCGCATGGGGAGATCAGCTCCGTGCTTTGTGACCACCTAGAGGGGTGGGATAGGGAGGGTGGAAGGGAGACGCAAGAGGGAGGGGATATGGGGATATATGTATACATATAGCTGATCCATTTTGTTATACAGAAGAAACTAACACAACATTATAAAGCAATTATACTCCAATAAAGATGTTAAAAAAAAAAGATTGAGGCTGAAATGAAATATTTACAGATAAACACCACCTGAGGGAGCTTATCAACAAGAGACTATCACTAAAGGAACTTTAAAGGATGTAGTTTAGGAAGAAAGAAAAATGCTCCCCAAAGGATGGTCTGCAATGCAAAAAGGAATGATGAGCAAATAAAATCGTAAACATTTATGTAAATCCAAACCAAAATAGTCATGTATTTTAAGAGTAATTTCAAATTTGTGGATTTAAAACAGGACAGAACGAAAGTGCTGGACAAGAATAATACGCAAGTCAAGACTGGGATCTAACTTGATGTTCCAGTGCCTTTGTATTCTTTGGCAGTGGGATTAACATACTGTTTCACTTTAGTATATGTCGGGTTAAATATGCATGACAAAATTTCAAGGTAACCACCTAAAAAATAGGAATAGAGTGCTGAAATTCTAATTTACTGGGGGGTGGGGGGATGGAACAAAAATGAAGAAAAAAATCAATTAAAATATGGAATAAATATTTTTCAAAAGCAAGATTATAGAAATCATCAAAATAAATATTAATGGACTAACCTTGCCCAGGAAAAGAGCAATCAGGGACGCAGTGAGAGAGTGGCATGGACATATATACACTACCAAATGTAAAATAGATAGCTAGTGGGAAGCAGCCAAATAGCACAGGGAGATCAGCTCGGTGCTTTGTGATCACCTGGAGGGGTGGGATAGGGAGGGTGGGAGGGAGATGCAAGAGGGAGGAGGTATGGGGATATATGTGTACATATAGCTGATTCACTTTGTTATACAGCAGAAACTAACACAGCAATGTAAAGCAATTATACTCCAATAAAGATGTTTAAAAAAAATCAGTCAGAGAGTGAAATTAGCCAGTTTATTTCTTAAGAAAAAATTATCTGATCAAAGTAAATTTTTATTTTACATAAGGAATGGAGCTTCCTTTTATGATGATGTTAAAAACACTAGCCGCTGCCTTGTGTAGATAATGCATTATGTACTAAAATCTATAAAGGTGGTGCTTCCGTATTAATGGATAGTATTCCTTTTTTTTTTTTAAACTAGACCACCACATAGAGCATCTGTTATCTCATATTATTCATTACCATTGCCTTGCTTTTCTACTAGCAAATGCTTCAGAACAGAAGAGGGGTAAAAAGACTTTCACGGAGGCTAGCTTTATCAGACAGATGACATCGAAACTCTATAGGAACCTTCACTATAACAAATGACAACTAGTTGACCATCTTTAGCTTCCCAAACATCAAATTTGTATCTACTGTGTACCTCTCCTTTAAAGGTAAAGTTTGATTATAAAACTGCTAGATAATTATTTTCTAAAATTTAGAAAATACTCTAAAGCTTAAAAAATCAAATAACAATCACATTATATATACAGGATTGCTCTCCAGAGAATGTGTACAAGACTGCATTCCTCTCAGCAGATTGTCTTATCTTGAATCACTCCTGTAACACATTGTGCCTCTGCTAATTTGACAAATGAAAGCAGTCTACAATTCTAACTTCAGTTACTAACGATTATCTACATAATTAATATGCTGACCTTTCTTAATGATCAGCTTTCAAAACTTAAAAAGTTTAGTCCTGTTAGAGTTTTTATAGAGTTAACTTTTAAGTTAAAAGTGATCAGTCTTACCTGTATGAGTAGTTTATGCCAACCAAGGCTCTGTTGTTCAGGGTGGTGATGCTAAATTTCAGATTTTAAATTCTCTGATCATCACTCTTCCATTATCTTTCAGTTTTAGTCAGCGTGAATAGATTCTTGCATGACACGAACTGCAGTGGGAAGAAAAGGAAATTAAACAGAGTATTGAAGAAATTCAGTAGTTAACGGTAAATGTAGCAACTACCTTCTCAAAAAAAAACCAAACTCATTTCTCTATTTCTATAGTGGGAGGAAATTAGTGGACAGTATATATACTGTGCTTCCTTTTGATTATTTCATGAACCGGTACACCTCATTTAACTTCATTAGCATGCTTAGCAGAAGTTAAGTTCAAAGGTTTAATCCCCACGACTAGTTAGTTTTGTACAATACAGTGGTAGAGGGAACCACTCCATAGTAACCCAATAAAATATTGGTACAAACCTGTCTGTAAAATCGTTGTGGATGGCTTATTTGCAATTCAGCTTTATCACAAATAAAGAGAAACTAAATGCAAAGTTTTCTTACTTCAGCAGGTTACTGGAATCAAATATCATAGAGCTGGGGGATAAAGAAGTGAGGCCCAGAGCAGTGCATTCAGGGGTTTGGGTCTCACCTTGGTTAACTAATGAACTAACTTATTCTACTTCAAATTGTCCTGTGCTGCCTCCATTCAGATTCAAAGTAGTACATTGTTTGGAGTATTTCATAATGACTTTGGGGAATCCTGGAAAGCGCCAGAATCCGAAGACCAAATATGCCTCAAATAAAATCAATAGTTATATTACAATATAAAGAATTGTGAAACCAATTTTATGTATAGTATTGTTTAATCAGTCTATGAACTATTAACTAAATGAAAGCTAAGTGTGTACAGCTGAGGAGCCAGGCCTGCATCACACATTACCCTTCCTTGGGTAGTTAAACCAGTGGGAGTCTGAGAATGGGAACAGAAATCTAATTTCATCAAGCTCGAGCACTTTAGTTATCAGTAAATCTTCATTTAAAATTAAAAAACGTACTTTGCCAATTCTCATAACCCCTGATGCTTATCTTATTTCTTGTTGATTGCATATATCCTTCCTAATGTTTGCTAATACTTCTCTGTAAAACAAAAGTGAGGACTACCTGAGTGTCTGGATTTTGTTCTGCTGTTATTCATCTTTGCATTTGCAGTGCTTGCCATCATTTAATTAAGAACAGTGGTTCATCCAGGGGTACATGGCCATTGACTGCAGAGTAATTTGACCTCTGGAATTCCTATCATTTTTACTTCAACAATTTTTCATGTTCCAGGAAGGAATTATTTAGAACAAAAAAATACTTCAAAATAATTTAGAGAAGAAAGAATGGAAAAGGAATCCTGTTTATAAGTGATTGAAAGATAATTTTAGTATTACCTGTTTGAGGCTTAATAAGTACCTTCGGTCCAAGAAAAAAGAATGTCCTTACTCTCCACAACTTATCTTCTATTGTCCCCGAAGTCAGTAGATGACACCATCACTTCTTCAGTTATTCAAGCCAAAAACCTAGGAATCATCCTTGATTCCTCTCTTTCCTTCACATCTCACAGCCAGTCAGTTGCTGCTACTGCAGCTTCTACCACCACCACTACCACCACCACACCAGTATTAGCCACATTTAATGAAAGCCTATTATGTGCCAGGCATCCTGTTACGTGCTTTATATGCACGTCTTATTCAGTCTTCACAATACCCTGTTAAATACTATGAAATAAATATCTTCATTTTCAAGGTGAGGAAAAGTGAACCTCAGAAAAGTTGCATAAGTTGCCCAAGGTCATGGGCAACTGTCCTCACAGAGCAAGTAGTTAAAGAGAACAAGGCCATAGTTGCAATGCCTGTTTTTGATCTAGCCTCTAAAGTCAACACTGTCACTTCTGCAGTATTCTGTTGGTCGCCCAAAGCCATCAGTGATTCAGTGTGGGAGGGATAAATATCAGGAGGTGATGGTCTTTGGGAGCCATCTTGGAAGCTGGCTACCACAGATGTCACTCAACCATTGAACCAAAGAAGAGTCAGAAGTACTGCTTAAAACGATGGTCAGATGACTGATAATTTATCGGGCAAGAATGCCTGGATAGGTGTAATGTTCGCCATTTCTTCCTCTATTTTGATTTTTTTTTAGTGCTCTGTAGTTTTCTTTTCTTTTTTTTTTTGTGGTACGCGGGCCTCTCACTGTTGTGGCCTCTCCCGTTGCGGAGCACAGGCTCCAGACGCGCAGGCTCGGCAGCCATGGCTCACGGGCCCAGCTGCTCTGCAGCATGTGGGATCTTCCCAGACTGGGGCACAAACCCGTGCCCCCTGCATCGGCAGGCGGACTCTCAACCACTGCACCACCAGGGAAGCCCTGTATTTTTCTTAAACAGTGCAATTCACAAATATTTATTGGAGTTCCTACTGTGTTTCTAGTGGCATGTGGAAGTCACAGAAGTATATCAACCACAAGCTAATTTAGGGTCTCTGGAAATTCAGGAGTGGTTCCAGAAGCAAGCCAAGATTCAGATTAATATGTGATGTGTGGTACAGACTTTAAGTGCTCTATGAGTTAGAAAGGGAGAAAACTAAATCAGAGTGGTTCTTAGAGTCCAAAGGAACCGAAAGGAAAGAGAAGAGAATGCATGGTGAGCAACAATGCTGTGCCAGTACCAGGCAGAACATTTTACATATAATAAGAGCCCTAGCGATGGGTGGCAGTAGCCCCGTTTTACCCATGAGGAAATTGAGTCTCAAAGATGTTAAATAGCATGCCCAAGGTGACACAACTAGTAAATTAACTTCAAGGCACATGTCTGGTTTTTTTTCAACCTCACCCTCTACCTTAGCAGAAATTACTGGTTTTTCTCTAGAGTCGATAAGGGTACCTTATGGTAAGTAAACTGGAATCAAGTTTTGAATACTTTTAATTTCAGACAGCGTTTCTAGACTCTTAAGTAGCAGAATTGACTGGAAGAAATCAAGCCCAATTTTTTTCTTTCTTTGAAAACTTTGGACTTCAGTAAGCTAATTTTTATCCCATCAATATCAGTATAAATTCTTTATGATTTAAGTGATTTTGAGTTCCCTAATTGAAATATAAGGAAATTTTTATTTATATTTTCCTAACATACTGGGAAGTATTACTGCAATTGGTAAAAGGTGTAAATGTCAGAGAATACAAAATGAACAGAAATACAACTTGTCAGGCAGAAATTTCAAGAATTGCAAGTTCTGTGTAAAAGTGGCCCCTTGGACTTTTCTCATTTAGGTCACCTACAGTTTTCTTTGGTTCTCATTCATCTTTCCCATGCTTCTCCTCTTCAAAGTTCTGCTTCTGTTTCCAGGTCTAAATGCTCTTGCCTAACCATTCTAATTACTTCCTATATCATTGCCAAATACTGGCTTCCTAAGTGTTCTGCTCAGACCCTTATGATTTACTCCTTGAGGTGTTAGAGTAGTTCCCCAGAGTGTAAGTCCTGCCTTGTATGAGTTTCCTGCTTTTGAGATGTTTGAGGTTCAAAGGGCGGGCATGCTATAATTTACTTTGACAATCCATGGTGAGCTGTATTCAGCAGGGGTGCATGAGAGCTTTCCTGACGGATTACTGGGGTTAGGATAGGGTCCCTTTTCAACTTGCCTCAGAGCCAGAACCCAGAAGACACAGGACAGCTCAGTCATACCTGAATCATTGTGCTTCAACTAGACGGTTATTTGGGGCTACCCAAGCTAGTGTCTTCTAAAATGGCGACAGTTGGCCTTTTAAGCACTCTATCTGACCCATCAGAAGTTCAGAGCGTTGGGAGGCTGGTGTGCAGGAAGAGAAGACGTGCCTTATGTAGTCCACATTAGAACTTCACATTCAAAAGATAATTATTTCTTCAAGGGGGAGTTGGGGTTGGGGTGCAGTGGAAGCCTTCATCCAGTTCATTGCACACCCGAGCCAGTAGTTACCTTTAGGAGGAGTGAAGCAGAGACCTGTTACTCAAAGCTGTGGTTTGTTCAAGGTTCTCTGAGCACCCCCGCTCTCTTCAGGATGTGGTATCTGGCCACAGCCCTGTCTCTGTCTCCAGTTGCACTGTGCTCAGGCCCTCGCAGTCTACCACGAGCAGCTATAATCATGGCTGTCCCACCCTTAATCAGGGTGTGAAGATCCTCTACTTGCTGCTATGAGCTGGTTTCTCAGCAAACCATGGGAGTATTTTCCTCAAGAACTATTAAAAAAACAGCAGAAATTAAAGTCCAAAGTTTGTAAATTTATAATAGCACAGAAAAGTGATTAGCTTTGTAAGAAAGCTCTGATGACTAAATGGACCGGCCAATAAGAGTTTCACTACACTTCACCTTTGGCTTTTGCCTTTCCCTATCGGCTTGAATGCACTGGATAGACATTTTCTTCTAGAAATGCACACCATAGAAACATGGTGACAGTCATTAGAATTGGAATGACCTCAGAAGTGGCAATTGGAAAACAGATGGGAAATTAGTAGGTTTAGGGAAAGGGAAACTTTAGCATTGGATTAGATGAGGCAAAGATATTTTTGAGGACAGTCAGATTTTGAATTTCAGCGTCTTTGAGTCAGTCAAGTTTGGTTCATATCATGCTTCAGAACCTACCTTTTTTTTTTCAGGTTCTTTGAAAAGCCAAAAGTAGATTAAAATTTCTGAAAATGAAGCATTTGATTATAGAATTCTAAAAATAATTTAGGCCATTGTATTGCCACAGGTACAAAACACATACATGCACCTTGGATTACGACTTGCAATGAGATTTAAGGAGTTAAAAAGACATCATATATCAGTGCCCAGAAACCTCACCACTGCCCCTTTCTTCTCAAGACCATTTCCTGGACATTTTATTACCAATCACTTCTTTGGGATTTCTAGGTAAAATTGTCTTGAGGTTAAATCTCCTGCTCCATGTCACTATCTTTATTCAAGGGGAAAAAAAGAGATGTCAAAGGAAGATGAGGAAGAGTTGGGTATCTGAGGTCTTACATCCTGTACCTATTAGTGTCTATATTTACTTTCTTTTATTAAGAACCTCAAGTATTGAAGTAACAAGCTTTCCTGAGAACCACTTTTAGAAAATTTATAATAATAATAAATGACAACCACTGAAGTGCTTTTATATATATTCACTTAATTGTTAAGATATTTAATTAAGATATCTCTCAGATGGATACCATTATTACTATCATTTTCTAGATGAGAAGATTTAGGTCCATAGAGGATAAATAACTTGTTGATGGTAATGTAACTGGTGTATTGTGGGCCTATATTTGAACCCAGGTAGTGTGACTTCAGATCCCATATTCTTAGCTACTAC